ATAACAAGGTCTTTTTTATTTATTTATAAGATGACACTTAGGTGATTAGAGAACAAATCCGGTCTACTCTCCATCAATTAGGAAGGTAAAAAAAAAAATAATCACCGCCTTTACTTCCTTATTACTTACTTCCTTACTTCCGTGATTATTCACAATTCGTTACCCGACCTCAGCTGCTGCAGCTGATGCTCGTTATGTATCAAATATCTTATGAAAGGAATTCCTACTCGCAGTAGGCCTAACAATATTTTTTTTCCCAAAACCTAATAATGATGTTAGGACACGAATGTTTTTCTTCCGCACTTCCTCCGAATTAGTCATCTCGGCGCTTCAGTCCACCTGGGTCCAATTTTACGGGGCGTAGTAGCACAGAAACAAATGCTTCAAATAGGATTGCACAATTTATTTCTACTTGACTACAATTAAGCACATCGAATTTGCTGAACCGAATTTGTTTTTCCATTTCAAATCTCCATGAAATTGTTCCCTGATACGCAACAGGGGGAATAGTCTTTGTAATTATTGTACAAATGAATATCGATATCCTTACACAATCACCCATCCACATCGCAACGTGCATTTTTTTTTTTCATTCATGGCCCTGTGTTCAGCTTATGAAAGAATGCGAGCAGGTGCAGATGCCCTGATATGACTGACAACTATCACGGTTAATGAGACCATTGATGTAGCTAACAATGCTTTACTAATGACGAGTGAATGTACGGCCGCTAGTTTAGCTACGTCTTTCTGTCTAAGGCTCTTTGTTAATATTAGATCTGACCTCCACAATTATAATTAACAAAGAAGTATAATCTAGAAACATCTACCGTTGTAGCACACTTCTTTCTCCGTAAAAGTATAGCCAAAGGCGCCCTCTTGTGAACATTGGTACAATGAGAGTTCACCAGAATTTAAGATTGCTGTACCTTAAAATCTGTTGCTTTACCCCTATTCGCTCTTGCCAAGTGACCGCCACATTGGAACCTAATAAACGAAACCAGGGTCTCTTTTGGCGTCGTTGCTTTTCGTTGCTGCATTACACTAATCCTTTTAAGTGTCAGAAACCTCCCGGTAGAGCATATAATGGATTTCTCCTCATCCCCTTATGGTCTTATGTGATCCTATAAGCTACCTACTGCCCTGAAGTCCTATCTCATGACACATTTAAATGTCCATTAAAACCATCCATAAAATCCTGGACGGTGAGACAAACTTTGTTGTAAAAAGCTTTTCACCGTGCAAAGTGCGGACATACCAGGATTAGGTATACGACCGCTTTTATTATAGATAATTCGACAATTCTTTTTTTTTAAATTAAAGGTCTGGACGGGATCTTTCAAGCCATATGTGAAGTTATACCTTGGTCATAACATAAAGTAACCCCACGTCTGGTTTTGTTTCTGTTTGTTTTGGTTTGTGTTTATTTCACCATTTTTTGTTGAAAAAAAAACAGTCAATCAAAATGTTATTGGTCAATAACGTGTAGATTTATCTCAAAACATTGCACTTGTGTTTTTATCTCAGTAATTCGGTACACAGCATCAGAAAACAAGAAGAGCAAATATGCGACAGGTTAATAAAAAAACTCGAAATGCAAATGACGCACAGTAATATTTGGCAACGTTCGTTACTTTGAATTGTTTGAATATTGTAATTCACGTTTTGTTTACTTCATTTCTGAGAAGATATACTTAACTTGCATCATGAAACGCAAGTCCTCATAACTAGCGTCCGAAACTACAACGAAAAATCATGATAAGTTAGATTGGAAATACAAATAAATGTAATGTGTGGTTCGTTATTAACTACATGAAACGTATGTTTTAGACTTATGCTAAAACTGTTTTTATTCCAGTCCGATGAACTGTATAAAAGCAAACAATTATACATCAAATATAATCAGGCACCAACGATTTTTCGATACCAATCTGGTGATAGTGGCGAGTTAATTTGGTTAATTTGTTTTAGTAAGTACCCCCCCCCCAAAAGAAACCAACTGCCATCACAAAATGAATCTGTCGGGAAAAGCACGCTCATTTTAAAGCATTTTACAAATAATGAACCAGCCACACCTTCTGGTTTAAAAAAGAAAGAAATTAATACGTTAATACGCGGAATCTCTGTTGATGTTTAAAAACTCTTTGCATTGAATAAACAACCATTAATAATATTTTGAAATTTTCCTTGAATACAAAGTACGGTTTTATTACAGCTCAGATGTTTTTTTAATCCGCAAGTGCACACAAGGCAAAGTCTCTTACACAAATACACGTTTATTTTCTTTAGGGAATGTATTAACGGTGACAATGAACAGTCAGCCCACGGGCAACGTTAAGTCAACAATTGTAGAACATGTAAGTTCTGGCAAGCTCTTTTAAAAGCAAACACGAACAACGAATCAAAAGAGACTTATTAAAGCCACGGTATATACACACAAAGGAACCTTTTCATTGTCGTATTTTGAGAAAGATTTATCTATTATGTATTTGTTATTAATGTAGTTTAATAACGTCAACATCGGAGAAGCGTCAATTACCGACTCAATAAAGAGTCCTTGATAGTGGATTAAATTATATTGATAATATAAAGATATCAAACGTTAGTAATGTAATAGACTCACAAAACAGGTTATTCTTTAATTGGATTTAAATGGAAAGCGGATTTTTGAGCTTTAAGTCCCCGGCTTATTCTGAAGGACAAGGACGTTCGTGAAGGTCACTTGAAATGAAAAAAACCTTTGTACAGATGTCAAGGAGATAAAATTGTGCTTAATATTCTTAGAAATGCACCATTTGCGCTTCGCCCGATGCGACGTTCCCTGAACCGTGCATTCTGTGTACTCGAGTGCACGTGAAACAAATCATCCTCTTTTTTGTCTTTTTTTCTTGACAATAAACAGTAAAAAAAAAAAATTAATTAAAAGTAGCCGACCGTTTTGGCAAACATCGGAAATGTAACACATCATACTTTGTTCACGATAAGTTTCGAGCCAAGAAAATGCCTTGCACCATGCGCCAGGAAAAAAACACGGTTTAGCTGAGATTGTCGGCAGCTTTAGTACGCCAGTTCTTTCCCCCGACTTTCATCCTCTACCTGATTCTTATCTAATTAATTTCCCAATTTGATCCTCTTTACTCTGGCCACATCTCAGTTGAATAGCAAGTTTTGCCTTGGCAAGCGCGATATTTTTTTTTAAAAACAAAATCATCTCCGACTCAAACATCAATAAGATTCTTGTGTCTTTGTACCCAGCTATAGAGGGAGCGATGGCGGATGAGATTGAACGCGCTCATGAATAACGTGACATTTTACAAGTCCATTATGCTTCTGATAGTCTGTGGATGTAATAGACCATGAGGAATACCATGGTATATGATGGGTGAGCAGATTTGCTGATTTAAATTAGGCAAGACAACCGCCTCTTGTCCTCTAGATTTTAACCAATCAGCGGGAGCTTTCTATATCGGGTCTTCTGTCATACACCCGTTGTGCGTCATATGACAATGAATACAAAACACTGTGTCACACGCTCTGTATCATGTTACGCGAATGCGCGCCCGGTTGTTAATGTATTACAAAACACAGTATTCGAATTTACCAATCAAACCATTTAGTCCTGATTTGGGAATGAAATGACGTCACGATTGAGTAAAGTCGACTCCGATTGGCTGCCGCGCGGCTTTCATATATCTGCGTGTCTATATAGACATACCAGTTTATACAGGAGAATTGGCTCCGTGGATAACGGGTGATACTCAGACTAAGCTTCTAACGGCTCGATCCATAATAGATCATTAATGCCGCAGCTAAAGTCATGATGTATGATCATCTGACGATGGTCTGGTGTACGAGTCTCTTGTGTGCAAAGAGCCTCTTTGCAGCCCCCCCCCCCCGCGATCAGATCGCCCCTGACATGTTGTGGTGTTTTTCTTCGTGTGTCACTTTGCAGCTAAGTTCAGTAGTGAGTTGGCGAAAATAAAGGGCAAATTTGTTTCTATTAAGACTTGTTTGCTCGGCTATCAAGACGCGATATGGGCCGCGCTCATTTCAATTACTCGTACATAAACCAATGGTTCATTGTCATAAGAGGGTTCAAATTTTAACTTGAAGTCCTGTTGTTTTTATAGGAACATTTTATTGTTTCATTACTGTGATTTGTTTTAGGTTGTCTTTTCATGGGCACGTGTGATTGAGCGGTAGAGCACATGATTCACGATCGTGAGGTTGTGGGTTCGAGCCCCGCCGTGGCCATACGGTGTTGTGCCCTTGAGTAAGGCGCTTTACCTCAATTACATGTACTCCTCTCAACATAGGTGTTAAATGGGTACCGGCATTATTCAATGCTGGGAAGGTGACAGACTCGCTGTGGAGGAGGTGTGGCGATCCCCCCACAGCAGCATATGAGTCTGGTTCAATCGCTAAAGAAAGAGAGATGGGCACTCCGCTCCTGTTAACACAGGTTCGGCCACTTTACCATTTACCTTGTCTTTAGAAACGAAACATTGTTCAAAAAAGATGACTGGACTAGATACTGGAAAATTTCGTGCAAAAAAAATTGTATAACGCCATAAATTCTTCGGGGAAAACCTGTCGTTGAAGGGGACGTATTACATCATGCGAGGAGATCAGCCAAAAGCTACATCTCCGGCCAGGTACTTAAACTGCATGAACAGAACATGTCCTTGCCTTGCACACTGGAGAAAACAAATCGATGAAAATGTTATCCCGAAGCCTGCGTCTGAGTCCCCGACAAAGGTCTACCCAAATACAGTGGGGTATAGCGTGTGCGGCTTGGTGCTATCTACTCAGATAAGCTGAGCGATAAGAGGAAGCAATACATCTGAAATCATACCCCCCCCCCCAAAAAAAAAAATCACGCGTTGGGCTGGATGCAAGCGGATTGGTTGATGAGAGCCGTCATAAGCTCTGCATGACGAGTTTGCTGACAGAGCTGAGTGTGGTGCATGGTCTCCCAAACAATCATTATTTGATTAGATTCCACTTCGTGTTGCATACCATACCATCGACAGTTGTGCGCAGAAGTCATATTAAAAGCGCGCTAGACAGACACTGGCATCTATGCACGCACTTCGAGAGTGGCTCGGCTCTTCGCCTTCATATAAATAGCACGTACGCGGCCACTCACAAAGCAAAGAGCAACCACTTCACTTCCCTCATTCCATCAGTCAAGATTCGTTTTCAATTTGAAATCACACGAGCCGATAACTCCCGCAAAACAATGAGTTATCAGCAAAAGTGTGTACTGGTGACGTTCCTGCTGGGTTTTTGGTGTGATCCGAGTTGGGCCGCCAAGACGCCGCTGCCGATCATGGCCATCAACCCAGGTGGGGCGTGGATAGGCTTCGATAAGTCCATGGAACTCGCCTTAAATGACATCAACCAGCACGAAGACATTCTAGTCGACTATGAGCTACAGCTATATGTCAACCACACAAACGTAAGTTCGCCACTCTACTATTTTAGCCTGGGGACAACAAATGGGCACCTTGGGCTCAATTCCATGGCTTATTAACGACGAAATTCCGCGCTCGATTCCGCATTTTACGGAACCTCTGCCCAATCTAGTATGCACATTACGCAAAAGGCAAAATGGCATGTTAACATATGAAACATTCTCAGCGTTTGTGCCTTATTTTTGCTGGGGATGATTCTTCACTTACTGTCAACATTAAAGTGAAGTAAATACGACAAAAAATAAAGCATCTTGCGACTAAAGGTAGAATATTATTTTTCGAAGATTCGTAGCCGGGCAAATAATTCAGAAATATCTGCTTACACAATTTGCAGCAACTGGGAATAAGGTTTATTTTTGACGATTGTTTTAGGAACTCCGTTATTGCTGAGAATCCATTTTCTCCTTCCCACGCTATTGTTTTGGGTTGTGTTTTTTGCAGGGTTTTTTTTTTGTTGTTGTTGAAAAATTCGCCCGTAGATGAGCTGATTACATCCTTAAAAAGACGACTTTTATATGCGAGGGCTTTTGTTTGTGCCCGAAATAATGGTGCCTTTGATCAAGATAAGCTTGACCGACGCATCTCGATTCCATTAAGAAAGCATCAACTACAAATGGACTTTAAAGTACTTCTGTCAAACGTAATTTGCACCATGATGTTATTGTTTTTCACCAAAAATGCTAAACTGGTGATCTTTAAGAGATCTGGTAGCAATTTTGTCTCTTTTGCTTTAAAAAAAAAAATCCGAATTTCAAATAAGAAATACGAATGTAGAATCGAAACCTGAAACGTTACATTGATATAACAATGTTAACATGTTAAACAGTGTGAGTAATACAAGGAAACCCACATGGCGCCCCTATTTTTGTGAAGAATTTCTGCACGTAGCGCTTTCCCAATCTAGGATATGAAAGCCCAATTAATAAGCTTTCTTTGAAAGCCCAAATAATTGAAAGAAATATCATTCGATTTAAAATCACTCATGTACTTTTCCAGTTTTGGAATTCTGAAAACGAATACCGTTTTATATTCTTGTCCACGAATCGCATTTAAGGTATGTGATATTTCAGTAATCTGAAACCATGTCGTATCCTGAAAATGATTTCAGAAAAATCACAAAAGTCTCCGAGGTAGCCAAGTAGAAGGCAGGGCAAGACTATAAACTCTTGACATTATAAAGCATGTTATTTTAACATTGGAAGCAGCAGGTTTTTAAATATGTTATGATAAGGGCAGTTATCATAGATTAGAGTGTTCTGATGTGTTTTTTGATATGTGAATTTTTTTTGCTGAAATATATCTAACCTTTGTTGTATTCTGTGGACAGGTTTTTTAAAAAAGGTGTTTGTGTTTAAAATTCCATAACTGGAAAAGAGCGATATGAATAATTGTTCACTAAAAGAAAGCTTATTAATTGGACGTTCATAACCAAGAACTGGAAAGCGCTACATACATATACGTTTGGGTTTCCTTCTTCTTTTTTTACTAACCCTGTATGTTTAAGTAAATCATCGCTAGTTTACTTTGATAACATTGCGGCTATCGCGAGTACGCCTTAATTTCCATGAAAGCATTGTAGGTGGTACGTTGTCACCAACATCTCTATGGATATTTGAGGAAGCTCCATATTCGTTTCACTTCCGCATTTCAATTTTATGCATGTAAAATGTGACGCACGTATCGTACCTTTTCAACAATTTAGGGAAAGGTTGCAATTATTCGTAAAAATAATTACTGGACGCGTCAATTATTGAATTAACAATGCAATCCTTACACCCGTTGAATTTCAATTCCATTTTAGATTGAATTTGAAATTTCTGTGGACTATAACAAGTGAGAATTGCAATCAAAATGGTGTTCAGAAAATGAAAGGAAAAAAAAACCAGATGGACCGCTTATCAATTTATTCCGCGATCCGGGGCCGATCTTGAACTGCATCATAATACAGCGCAGTGGGACGTTCTCGTCCAATGTTTTATTAACAATGTAATTAAGTTAGCATTGACGTAAACAGAACCAAAAAAAAACATTAATTTCCCGGGGGTGGAGATTGTGGTATTGAAAACACCAAGAGACGAACAATGTCGACCGAGAGCGCTGTAAAATAGTTCTTTCTTAGAGTGACCCATTGTCCGGCTCGCGACACCTTGTGTTTTAATTCGCTAGCTAACTTTAGGTTGACTTGAGAATACAAAAGGCAAATCGATATAGGCTTCTTTTTGTTTTCCTTTTCTTTTTTTAAGGTGGATAGTGGTCATCTGCAATATATAAAAAATGTTCAAGTGCACATTTTTTTGTCACAGAGAAAGAGAAAAGGCTAAAGATAATTTTGAGAAGCGGTAAGGAGAAATGTTAAGATGCTGAAAATTTCAACTTGTCGTAAATTTATCTTTGTTTTGATTTTATTCTTTGATCTAAAACCAACATATGTTATGATTCAGCCAGTGACGTAACTACGGGCCGGGGGAGGAGGGGGGGGGGGGAGCTCAGGCCCCCCTGTGGAGGTCCAGGCCCCCGGGTGCCTCCCATGTAAAATCTTAAATTACACAAAACAATCTTCAGTGGCCCCCTTGAAAGCTTATGTGTGTTGTTCGGACAATGTTCGATGAGATCCAAAAGCAATAAATCCCACTTTGGAAAATATTAATTACTCGCTATCCTCCAAGATCACACGCACACAAACAGTGGTGTTATTGAGTACGTGACATTTGGCATGAAACAGAAGGACAGCGGAACTGACCGCAAAGATTAACAGATACATTTTCATTAGATGACCGACAGTGCCCGTAATATAATTGAAAAGTTTTGGTGAATACGCTCGTCGCTTGATAACATTGTTTCTGGTAATTTGAAGAAACACGATGGTCTGTACCTGATTGAAAACGCATTTCTCGAATTAAATGAAAGTACAGGCCGGCAGAATAGACTTCCTGACGACACAGACGTGCTTTTGTAGGTATCACAACAGGCTGGAGTTTATACTTAATTGGAAATCGCAGCGTTAGCGGGTTGATGAACTTTCGACGAAAACCATTAAAAAAATGACTCGCACATTTTTTTTTTACCGGAGAAAGCGCCCTAGGCGTTGCGTTACATGTTCCGGAAAATGTCTATTGATGAAAAGTTAACAAACTATTCTCTTTCCTTAAGCCTTTATAAAATGTCGTCAAATATAGAAGCACCGTTCTGTGTTTAATCACGACGACATCAAGAAAACTGTTAATTCGTTGTTAATTTTGTTTGAGTGTAATCGCAGTTTTTAGAGTGTACTTGCGAAATTTGTCCCAAAGTTGCTGAAATTTGCACTTTGGTCCCGAAAAAACCCTATTTTTAAGTGGATGGCGTTTCCCCAAAATCCTTGAAATAAGCATCACAGACCAAAAACTAAAGGTTCCATAATTTAGGTCCTCGAAATTCGAAAAAAATACCCACGTATTTCAAATAATTCTTGTATGCGTGACAGATGAAATAACCTGATTAGGATAGAACAAATGAATTATATGAAAACCTTGATGCAAGGCGAATGCACTTAAGAATTTTCTTCATAAATGGCAGCCTCGTCAACTTCCGATTAAAATAAATCGAGAAATGTTTCTGGACCTCGGTAGAAATTATTTACTCTCCAAATATGTACAACGTGTCCTCGAAGCGAGAAGAATTGCCAGTCGGTCTCAAATTGGTATTTAATTGCGATGTCTAGCCTACTCTTAATCGCAACGCAACATTACATTTGCTGCGTATTGATTTTTTGTGTCGCGCGTAACTACTACGATTTAGCGGAGAAACACAGCGCAATAACTTAAAATCTCTCTTTTTTATTACTTAAAGGGAATATACAACATTTGCAAACATCGAAAAATAAAACTACCAAGTTTTTGCGAAATACCTTAACAGGATGTTGGTAAATGACAGTCTAAAGCATCCTGTAAAATTATGGCACCTGGTATACTGTCATTTTCAAGAAAAGAGGTATTTTTGTATCAATTTCCAACGCTGATCGGCCGATCAGCGTTGGAAACAACTGGCTTTTTTTTCAAATACTGGCCCCAATTGACCATTGCACTTGTTTGCAATCGATTACAAACCTATGAACGGTTACGAGCCAGCTAGACTGGTTCCCTGACCTTACAATTCCCCAATGTATGTAAACTGCTCTGTTTCTTCTTATATGGAGTCAGGGAACCAGACTACAGGAAAATGATCGTTTTTCTTGGTTTTTATAGCATTTTCGAACCCAAAACCTCCAAAAAGTCAGTGTAACTATATTTGCTTTATATTTCCAACCCCCCAATTCCATCCATTTCTGAAAATTACAGCAAAAGCAAATGATATATATTCCCTTTAAATGAAGGCAGTGTAAGGGTTTGGTGGATCTATTTGCGTTATCCCCTGTACATTGTCCTAAGCTTTTAATGTAAGATTGACAATTGACCAAGTACTGATCGATTACAAAATGCATGCACTCACTTTACACGCTAGGAAAAAGTCAGATATACCTATATTTAAACCATTGCTATGACGTCACACTATTGTTAAAAGTGTGGATTCGGATCTACGAATCTCTTACACTGGTCACAAAGTGTGGATTCGGAACTACGAATCTTTAGTAAAGTGTGGATTCGGAATTACGAATCCACACTTTGAACACGTCGGACAATTGTTCTCCATAATGAGCATGAATAGGACCGTCTGCTGCGTGAAAATTTGCGTTCCGAAAATTACCATTGCATCTTCACTGTCAGATTCTCCGCCGTCACTGCAAAATCTACTCTTAGTCAGAAAGATATTTTGACGTTACTAGGAGCCTACACACACAAAATGACTTGGTTGGGTGTGTGTACATACACATGCTAAACACGCCAGGGAAAAATGTTGCAACATGACGCCACTTCCGCGCTTGTGTACAAAGTCTATGGAGAGTCATTTCAAGTATTTGCTAACAAAATTGGAAACATTTCTCAGTCCCAGATTCATGTCTTATCAT